GTTATAAATAATTACAGTTACTATCATATTAGCAATTGAGATTTTTTAGCACGATAAAAAGAATATAATAACATCTTCAAGATTAAGTTCAACATTGAGATTCATCAATGATGTCCGATAATCTGAGCGAATTTAATATAATCTCTTAAAGGTCATAGTACTCGTGAATAATGCATATTTGAACAGCTGATTAGTTCACTTATTGATGCCTCAGTGTTCTCATAATAATATTACTTGAATTGCTTTTTGCATATATTATGCCATTATTATTGTCGTCATTATGCTATTAATACTGTTATTCGATATTATCTTTATCATACAGAGATTCGGTAAGAAAGCTTGAAAAAAGCTAGATTCCAAAGTATTCATGTCATGGATAAAATTAACGGTACTGTAAAAGATTATCAAAGTTGATATGATAAGGGGATATATAATGCTAGTTGTAGAAGAACCACAGTTCTTATTACTACCATTATTGGTCTGATTGTCACAGCGTCTTTACTATAGTAAAATCATTATTACGCTGTCATAAGTAAGCTAAAGTGCTGATTATCAGTACTGTGCAAGATAATAACTTTGATCTATTTTTGCAATCAAAAACACAGTTGAATAATCTCACATATTATTAAAAAGCACATACATACTGTATTCATCACAATTTTGTTTCACAGTGTTCTCAGTGCAGTAATTGAAGTAATTTCTTAGTACAAGACTTAATCCAAAATGTTTCATTCCAGAAACATGAACTGATAAAGATTGAAATTTCACTAAAAAATTAAAATTGCTTCTGAAATGTCAAAAAGTTTCTGAAACAATGCATCTTTCGCACCTATTCATTGAGTAAAGGAGGTAAATTCATCTATTAAATAATGCATGCTATAATTTCACTAAAGCATAACTAAACATTTTGATGATGGCTGCGCGGCATGAGAAAGGACTTATCCAACACCTGCGCAGTTATGTTTAATGAGAAAATCCGAGAAAGTCTACATGAAGCTGCGAATTAGTCCATTGGAGTCGGTTTTTCATTATGTAAATGAAAAGGTAAGGGAGATCGCAGTAGTGACTTAAAAGGCGATTAACAAACCATTTCCACACTTTTGCAAATATTTTTGTACAGTAAAGCCATCTGGAGTGGACACTGCAATCAAGAATGAAATGGCATAAAATACTGAAAACTGTTAAACAAATCGCAGTGTCGGAGGTCAATAACGAAAACTAACAAAACAAGCATCATTTTAATAACGACAATGATAATAATAATAATAATAATTAAAGTTATAATTATGATATTAATTATTATAATAACAATAATAACTATAACTATAAAAATAGTAATGATAATATATAATGCTTGTGGAATTTTGTTTGTTTTGAAGGCATTAGGAAACACAAATTTTTTTGGAATATTTGTTTGATCTTTTAAGAGAAAAGCAATTTGATCAAGTTCAAGAATTTTTGTTCTATTTTCAAGACGTCAAAATTTTGATTTGAGTTCGAGTTCTTTTGCTTCCATTAAAAAATTTTTAGTTTAAAAATGTTAAAACTTTCTTTTATAAAAATCTGTCATCTTTATCATAAACAGAAACTCATTTTTGGATTTTGAAATGTGATTGCAGCATAAGAGATTTTTATTGGTTTCCATCACTGATAACATTGCTTCCTCAAATGAATGGGGGTGGATGCCGAAAAAATCCATTTCCAGTTTTTGAAGTCCAGTTCTTCTCGCAGAAACAAAAATATCAAAAAAGCTCCATCCACTAGTTAACATTACTTTAATTCATTACTTCCCGCTGAGCTCTAACCTCAATCATTGAGTGATTCAAGAAGTCTGTTCCTTCTGAAGGTGGCGGTGATCTTTTATGCAAATAAATATGTTGTCTTATTCATTTGAATTTTAATTTAGAAACGAATTTAATCCATTCTTTCAAATTCACATTTCAACGTTACCTCAAACTTTTATGATTATTTTTCTACCATCAACTTTTGATTTTCATTGCTCACATTGTGCTTCGAGCTGATGAAAGCGCGCATTTTGGTAAAATTTGAGGAGTTTATTTGATTTTACTTAAATTCAAGTTTCTGTGAAATCGAACAATTTTTGGCGATTTTTCCTCTGCCAATTTTATCATCGATGACAGTAAGGTGATAAAAGTTTAACAAGTCATAAACGTGCAAATGACTTTGCAAAATCGTAAAATAACTGAACAAGTGTGCATCGAAAAGTTAATGTCTTGCCTCCAATATTTTGATTATAACTCTTTGTAATTTGAAATGCATTTCAATATGAATTAGAATCAGATATTACAATAAAAGAAATCAAATCATTGCTGTCAGAAATGCAATTCCATTGATATTCTTCATTTATTTGTATTTATGAAGTAAATTTGGTAAAATTGTAAGTTAATTAGTGATTTTGAATCTTTTCAGGATCTAATTGAAAAAAATAACATTTTATTCAAAACTTTATAGGAATTTTAAAAATATGCTCACTTTGTTTTGTGATAGAAATACAAAAGCACTGCTTTATTCATACTTTTTTATCAAACTATGAATGGCTTTTTAAAATTTGTTAATGTTTTGGAGCAGAGATATCAAAACAATAAGATGTACAGTGATTTAAAAAATGAACAGATATGTGGAAAGAAGAGAGGATATTAGGTCAAAGGTATCCGAAGTGAGCAGTTGTCTTAGCTCGTTATCTTAAAAAGAGTAACCTCAGCTTGAGATTACTTTCTGGAGTTTGTTTTCACAGCGGTAACACCTTTACATAAAGGCGCAGGAGAGCCGTCATTTGTTTGCTTAATCTTCCCAATGAATAAAAGTAACATCGAGCGGTTCTTTCACTTTAATTTACTCAAACAAACTTTTTGGAGGTAACACTCATTTGCTACTATTTTGTTCTTCTTCGCTCTCAAAAGCAAACTGTATTAGCAAATGCAGTTTAGAATGCAAAATTGAACTGAATATCATTTATAATTTATGAATTTCAATCAAAAATATGCGGCACTGACTACTATCTCAGAGTGCATTTTCTTATCAGTTGTAGACAAATAAAGCAAAATTCAGTTGCCATCAAATATACTGACTGACTGACTGCACTGTTTTAAATCGTAATTTTGTCACTGCAAATCATTTTGTAGCGGCGAATAGGCAAAATCCTTCAAATGCTCTACTTGAAGTTTAATGCAAATTTTAAATTACATTGTTTGAAGTTGTGCAGAAAACTTCGACTTTTCTGTTGATTTTTTAATTTGCTTTTGTTTATTTTAAATTTTTGTTTTGGAAATTCGCGTCTTTTGGATGAAAATTCAAATGAAAAGGAAGTTTTGAGCGAAAATATTTCGTTGATTGCATGTAAGTTTGCTTTAGCACTTATCTTTTTTCTGTTTTTATTTAATGTGTATTTTTATGTTTTTTTCTTTCAGCAAATTTCGCACTGACATAGCTGAAGCATTGGAACTTTGTTGGTGTTTAGCAAATGTTTCTGCCCATTTAAAATTGAGTTTGTAATAAGTCGCAATTTCAGTTGAAATGAATAATCCTTTAAATATTAAAATTTTTTAAATACTTAAAAATTTATTTTCATATTATAATTTTATGTCTGCAAATTTCTTGACAGTTCTCACGGCTATTTACTCTCAACTCCGCCTCATCTCTCCTCTCCACCCTTAACTTTCTTTGCAGTAATTTAATTATTTGTAAAATTGAGATAGTGTTTGGTCCAAATTTGCTTGTTGAGATTGTCAGTCTTTGATTCTAAATTTTGATATTGTTTTTACTGCTGAATGCTATATGGGCAGATTTGATAATATTGTTGATAAGATAGAAACTGTAAGTGCAAATTGGATTCTATAATATACTGAGGTTTGCTACATTCGTAAGTAATAAAGTATGTATGAGTTATTAAGGTTAAATTCATTTTAGATAGATGACCTTCATTTAATTCAAATTTACCGTATAAAATGTTGCAAAAAGATAGTATCGTATGGTTTGTTGGCAATGATTTAGACGTGTCCTTCGATCTTTTATTCATTTTGTCGTTGATTAATGAACGATTGAAAATATTCTATTCTTCCCAATAAATCATACGTAAGTGTAAGTTTTCACGTGGAAGATTGAGATAGTTATCTTTAGCGTTCATCAATTTTTTTGATGGTATTGAGAATAGAGCTGGAAATATTCAAATTGTTCGATCAAATTTCCATCTCCAAATTCGATTGATTGAAATATTTTTTAAATTGTGTGATCAAAACTCATCAATCTTTGTCAGAAAATAGCGACAAAATTTGTAGGTTAATTTACAGTTCTTCAACTAAGACTACCAAATTGTATAAATTTTGTTCCATTTTTGGCTTTGTATTCATTTTTTGCAAAGCCATTCAAAACCACTTTATATTTCGGCTGTTCAAACTTGGCACTTTGTAAATCAAATATATCATTCTACAACTTTTGCCTCTGTTGTAAAAGTAATGGTTTAGTTGGAACTAAATGATGTTTCACTTGAAAAAACAGTAATGGTGATGATATCAATGGGAAACAATGATAAAAATAAAAAATGTGTTATTGATAAACATATTTACAATAATACTGTTCATAAGATGTGCTTGTAACAGCAAAAATTTGCAATAATTTTATGCAAATTAATAATGACTATATGCAATCATTAATGACATAAATCTTGAATGTAGGGATATTCACAGGATTTTTACTTTTTTCACCTTGACTTATTAAAATGCTCATTTATTGCAATTTTTGACTACACTTGCTATTCGATTTGCACTCAAGGGAATCCTCAATTTCCACATTTAAATAGCCATTTGCAAAAAACAAAAATTAAAAGCTAAAAGTATGTATATATTTGTAGTAAGCAAGTCGATAAGGACCAAAATTCTTAATAACAAGACTTTTTTGATCAATTTTTTTAATAAAATACAAATAAGAAAACGTATTGACGTGGTTTAATTGTTGTTTTATATTCAGTGAAAAAATTAATAAAAATGTACTATTACTTTTTAGAAAAAATTATGCAAATTTTCTTGAGTATTCTTTTACTGGTATTTTGGATTTCGATAAATTATGCACTCTTGGATTCAAGCGGAACAATCTTTTGGCTTTCGAGTAAAGTCGAAAAGATTGAATGGAGGAAAGGTTGCCTGACGACCGCTGGATGCGCACAACCGCGTTTCCAGCTTTTACTTCTTAACGTTGTCACTAATGAAAAGTTATCCAAGAGTTGGCTTATCTCTCCACAACTCATGCAAGTAAACTTTCCTTTATTACTTCTCTTCACAACAAATTATATTACAGTTATTCATCTTATAACTTTGGTTGCTACTTTCTTCTGATTTGTTTCTTCACTTTTTAAGGAATCAGTAGTGGTTTTTGTTCTTTAGTTATTAGTATTTTATTCCTTTAAAAAATGATAAATAAGTCTCATTTTCTTTATCATTTTTTCACTTACACAATTCATTTACCTCTTAGGTGCATGAAAAATTTTTAAAGTATTTTGTATGCTTTTGTTTAAATAACATATAAGTTATATGTAAATAAAGCTTAGACATTACAGTAGAATACAGTAAAATTAAAAATTTCTGTACAAGAGTAAGGTTAAATATAGCAAATTGACTTTTTGCATAAATAT